GTAGGGGTCGGCCTAGGAAGGGTTGGAGGGGGGGGTAAAGGAGGTTTTGTGTGCGAGGGGCTTGGACTTCCAGCAGGCATGCGTGAGCGTGTTTGATAGGAGTGAATGGAGACAAATGGTTTTTAATACTTGACGTGCTGTTGGAGTGTGAGCAAAGTAACATTTATGAAGGGATTCAGGGAAACCGGCAGGCCGGACTTGAGGCCTGGAGATGGGAAGTACAGTGCCTGCACTCTGAAGGAGGGGTGTTAATGTTGCAGTTTAAAAACTGTAGTGTAAAGCACCCTTCTGGCAAGACAGTGATGGAGTGAATGATGGTGAAAGTTTTTCTTTTTCGGGCCACCCTGCCTTGGTGGGAATCGGCCGGTGTGATAATAAAAAAAAAAAAAAAAATAAAAATATATATATTAGAAGAACATGCAGTAATGGCATCAATGGTAATATTACCAGTGTAGCAGCAATAAATTACCTTTATATGGTGACCAGGGATTCCATTAGGAGAGGTCTGGCTACAATGGCCATTTACCATTTATTACCAGGACATTATCAGCTGACTATTAAAAGTCATCAAAGGTTACTTAAAATTATCCCAGGTACTGATCTGCAATTTTTATCACATTAATTTATCTAAATTAATGGAACCCCTTGACAGCTGATATTCTTATGAAGTTTGAACTAAAATGGGCAAACTAAAAAGTGACTCAGAGTTAACAAGGGTGGTGAAAAGAGCATGCCTACATACATGTAACAGTGCATAGGTGTGAAGCTACATTATGCCAATTTATTTTCAGCAGCTCTTTAAAAAATGAAATGCAAATTCCCTTGACAAGGCACACAGTGCAACTCTGAGTTCGTAGTTTACCTTCCTAGATGAACCGGTACCCATTCACACCAGTCAGGTGTAGCATGTGTAGTAAAGAACCTTGCCCATGAAGACATACCCCAGTTGACATCTGAACCCACAAGGCCACTACAGTATCATATTTAACCACTCATGGAATGATAATGGTCAAATTTAAGAAAAATATTAGGATGGTTAAGAACATTAAATTTACAATATCAACAGCATCACTACAGCTGATGACCTGCCTGGCAGCAAAGCAGAAGCAGTAAAGGAATTACTGGACCAGATGAACTATCACCATGGGTTGTACAAGAATGTGCAGAACTGGCCTATTCACTTTGGAAATTTTTCTTTATTTCATTAAGGGATGGCACATTATCAGAAAAGTGAAAGATGGCACACATTGTACCAACACTGAATTTAAGGAATGTGACAGGGTAGACCAAACTATGTATAGGCCTATTTTGCCAACAAGGTAGGTTAATTGTAAAAAAAAAAAAAAAATGAGAAAGTGAATAAAACACTTGGAGATAAATAGCCTACCAATTAGGAAACAATTTGACTTTTGGACAGGAAATTCCTGCACATCAAATCTTTTGTTACAGTTGCAGAAACTGTTCAAGATAAATGTATAGGAATATAGTATTTATCAAGATTTTAAACTTCTTGACAGAGTCTCCACAAGAGATTAATTTGGAAACCACTAAACATAAGAGGAATAAAAGACAAAGTACTATTACTGTACAATGTACTCATGATATCGTAACATGACTGCAAACAAATCACGAAATGGGAAGGAGTTGAACCCATGGAAAGCGAGTACAAAAATACACTGGCCTATGATTTTTAGGATTCATTAGCCATGGGTTCAAGACTCTCCTGTTCTGTAATTTATTACAATGTGTGAGACTGTGTCTAAGAAGAAAATGTGTCACAGTACGAGAAAAAATGCCCTCTTGTGGGAAATGTTACTAATAAGGTGTCACAAGAATCAGTAACTGCTTGCAGATGCAAAAATCTTGCCAAAATAAAAAATAATCTTCGCAACATGATTTGGAGAAATTGAGCAAATGGAGTGACAGATGGATGATGAAATTTAATGTTGACAAATGTCATGTAATAGAAATAGAAGAAAGCAAATATATGTGTGATAAAATTTTAGGACATTTATACAGAGAAAGGAATCTAGGAATTCATATCCAGGATATAATATGCACAAAATATCGAGAAATGCACATGCTACATTGGATAACTATGACATTGTATAAATATGTAAATGAAATGGAGATATGCTATGATAGCTGTCTACAATCTATAATAGGTCAAAATTGTAAAATGCAGCACCTGTGTAGTGTACACATTTAAAATGTGTATCTTAGACAGAAAAAGGCCAGAGAAATACTCCAAAATGGATCCCAGAGTTATAAAGAACAAGAGGTATGATATAGGACTGAAAACACTAAAATTGCCAAAGCTGACTGATAAGAGAAAAAGTGGAAACACAACATTTAAGATTTTATAAAGAGCATGAACGAATCAAGATTTTAGTACCTTCAACAAGAATAACACGAGGCCACAGATACACATCATGAAAATCGGCTCCTATAGCTACAAACAGGTAATTACTCCTCGCACTGAATGACCTACTGGTTCAGCATTTAAATATAATAAAAGGACATAAAACATAGATCAAACACTGTACTTTAATGTGCTAATTTGACAGTAAGTAAAAGTAAAGCAGTCAGCACCTCTCCATTAATTAATAAAGTAAGTAGAATGATGGTTTCCCTAGGCAACAACATAAATACAAGATGGCAGAAAGGAAGAGATAAAAGAGACTACGAGACCCAGAAAAAAAATAGAAAAACAGTATAAAATATTTTGAAAAGGTAATGTGAAGAAGCAAACTGTTACCTCCCTGTGAAAGTGCCACTATAGCCAACTAAGGTCTAACTAAAGAATATATATACATACAGCTTCAACTATGACAGTAAGGACAACCATGGTATTAAATAGTGCAAATACATCTGAAGGAAATAAAATACTGACTATAAGTGAATAGCAACAATATAATCACAATCACAGTTGAAGTGTTTATAATTAGACTGAGGTAATACCATAAATATGTGGGTGTTCTTGGTTAGAGAATTATTTTCATGCAAGAGAGCCAAAAACAACACTTTCAAGTGTTATACCTATGCTGCAATATTACAAGCAAAAAAATATACTATTTGACAAAATTAATAAGCTATATAATTAAAACAACTGCTGTAGGATATTAAATGAGCACTGTATTGTGAAAAATGCTAGGATCTAAAAAAAAAATGGCATTCTGTTAGTATCAGTTGCTACACTGCATCCAATAAGCATTCAAATAGTAATTTAATTTTTGCATTAACTTTAAGGGAAAAAATACTTAAATACCCAGAAAAACAGGTGAAATCGCCCAAAAATTTCTAAGACCAAAGTCCACTAAATAATCTTGATATCTGAAAGACCTGATAAGATACATAAGAATCTTATGTACATTAATTAACAGACTGCAAAAAACAAAATTGCTTGTTTAGCAAATACAAGCATGAAAACTGCTGCACATGCAAATCAAATAATTAAAAATAAAAAAAAAATCATGTTAAAAGTCAATGGCAATTTAGGAAGGGCTGGCCATGGGTAAACAAAGAGAGAGAGAGAGAGAGAGAAAATGTTAAAAAAAAAATACCAAAGTTCTGGAGGTTTGCCAGTGAGAGAGACAGTTGTGGCAGAACTATACTGCCAGGCCTGGCCACCAAGGCCATGCTACTATAAAATCATATTTACTTAGCAACAATCAGACAGATAACCATAATCTATCCTTATTATTTACAGATCAATGGTAAATACTGCAATACTTCAAAAATTTGCTGCTATTTAGCTATGAAGGTGCATGTAACCTGAGCCGGGTACTATTACAGGTATTGTTGCCACCACCGTGATGCCACCCTCACATCCTGGTTGTACTACTTCACTCTTCTCCAATAACAATTTACCTCAAATATCAGCTTATCAGGGTAGAGGTTTTGGCAGTTTTATGCTTAAGTGAAATATTTGAAAGTAGGGGAGTATTATTTTTTCACTTTATACAATATTATTCATATTTCATCTAAAACATGAATGTTTTTATCCAAGCTCAGATATGCTGCATGTACATTATGTACCTTTGGAAATATTTTCTGTAAGAAAATAAACAATATTATACTACATACAGTATAGTCAGCAGAGTATGTAATATAGTTTTTTAATGACACAAGGCACATGGTCAACAGTTGCAATTTTCATAATCGGGTCAATGATCCCTTAAGACCGAAATCTTATTATTACAACAGTTAATTGAATGACAGAAAATTTAGGAGTCTGTAAACAGAATTATTACTGTACTATATAGGATTATGATAAAACTTTTGTTTTATGGAAATAACCTCTAACATCAGTATTACACATATTCTCAAAAATTCTTTAACATTTTATATAATAAACTACAAAGCCACTACAGTATTAATAAATATCTGAACTCCATGTCACTGCACAATGCTACATGACCTATTCTGCTGGAAAATGATATGCAGCAATGGTACTTGTTGAAGCCTGTTATTAACACGGTGGCTCGGTTATATATTTTCATGTTATTGTAAAATTATCAAGAAATGCTTTTGATGCACAAATGTTTTCAAAATAAGACCTACAATTGAAACTAAAAAAAAAGGTGCATCAATATACATGGTATGCCCATATATAATTTTCTGAATGTCAAGTATGTATAAGGCCGTATCCCAATCACTTAGCAAACAAATAGTTTTCCAAAAGGAATTATTCTGCATTTTAATGATATTTTATAATGCACAAATATAAAATCTACATAAAATCAAATAAATTTTTTGTTTATGAATTATATTTGTTCTAAAAGCAGAAGTGGTTTCAAAACAAAAAGAGCTTATAATAAATTTATAAGAAAGTATGTACAGTAACTGCATTAGTGAGAAGGGGAAATTACCATACATTATTAGCAAATTGTTGGGATCTATAAATCAACACTCCCATGCATCCCAAATGGTGTTAAAGAAGGGTTATCAAACATACAAATGATCAGAGGATGATAAATTATCTCCCAAGGCTTTGTTACCGGTGGGAAAATTCTCTGAAGCTCTTCCCGAGAAAGCTTAGCTTTTTCTAGCTTTTCTCGTAACTGATCCACCAACTGAAGCTCCATTCTGATTAGTGCCCAATAACTTCCACTGAGGTGAAATGAAAAGAAAAAAGCCAGAGAGGGAGAAAAAGAGGCTGAAAATAATGAAAATAAGGTAAGTGATAACTTATTTAATTACTGAACAAATAAAAAATATGTAAAATAAATAAATTAAACAACTGGCATTGCAAACAAATAACTAGTAATGGCAAACAAACTAATAAATAGTAAAACTGAGTGAACAGCTACAGAACAAGCCAAAAAACTAAAATATAATAGCATATGAATGAGATAAGTGTGTTACAACCATTATCTCCAAGGCAACAGTCTTGCACAATGGATGAACTAGTATCCAGGTATGCTACTGAATTCCATTAATGCAAATTTCTAAATTGTACAAAAAGTAAATAAGTTGAAGCTTTTAGAAAACAATTTGAAAAGTAAGAATTATGTAGGTAAAACCAAAAACTGGCAGTGATCATCCCACATTTAAATTTTCAATAATTTGCAAAATTGTTTCAAAGAAAAAATCTTAAAATGATCTTGACTGAAGTTACAAATTTCTTTCTTTAGTCTGTGGAACACCAGCAATGTGTCATGTTTAATCAGTGCAGTAGTGTGTCAGTGTAATGAAATAAATGTAAATGACTACTGTATAAAGCTAAATGAAACTGTGACATTCTCAGAGCAAAACATGGCCATGTGATTGAAAGGAGGCTGCAACTACCATGTGATGCTAGTCAACTTATGCAGCATTCAAAGCCATTATGTCATATAGTAACCATGATTGGCTATTTATTGCATGGCAAAATTTAACAGCATTATAGTTAAGTTTTTAATATTTTTTATTTTTTAAATTTGTAAAAAATTCAACTAAATCTAAAAATTAAGGTACCAACTGATGAAATGTATCTTCTTTATTATTATTATAGTATTCATGGGGGAGCACTAAACCCATAGGGGTCACACAGCACCTGGGGTAATGGGAGGCATTCAGTTTCTATCTAAGTAATGGAAGCACAGATCCAATTCCATAGATCAAGAGCTCCTCATTAGCATCAAGGAACCTTCCTTGAGGGGATGGAATGCATCAAGATAAAAAAAAAAGATATTAAAATGAAAAAAATGTCACATGTCCCTGTGTGAATTATATGTATTGCATAATATGTAATTTCCTTGTACTACATGCTGTGACATTAGGTTCCATCTCCTTATGTTAACCTGCTTATGTAGGCCTTAACCACTGATTTGTATTATGTTTATTTGTAAGTCCTTCTCCTGTTCTGATAAACCAAGTTGTCTCCTCAACTGATATTTACTATACTTGTTTCCTTTCTACTACTCCTGGCTTCATCACCTTGCAGTTAAGAGTTAAACTCTAGTCATATATTTGACAAGCATGAGACAGAGAAGCTCTGAGGAACTCTGCCTGTACTTCTCTTCAATTTAACATCTCTCACACAGTCCTTGCATATATATACACAGTATATTTATCAGTTCTTTATCCAGTTCTGAAATTAAATCATTAGTGTTGAATCACACTGATGAGGCCTTCAGACAGTGCAGTATATAAACTCCATCTTTTCCTATCTTATTCTGTTTGTACTAACACAGAACTCAGTAGGTTATTTGGTTATTTAAGAATGACTTTTCTTCTTTGAACCTTGTTGTTGGACCATAGTGAATCTTATCTTCTCCAGGTTGTATATCAAGAGTTTCCTTGCAATCTTTCAACATCATGCAGGGTAAACATGTTTTGAGATCTGCATAACTTTCTATAATAGTTTAAAGAGAGAATTGGTGAAAATACACAGTTTGCTGATGAAAACAAGAAGATTGTGGAGTCAGCTGATAATGGCCTAGGGTGGGCAGTCCTTGACCACAGGCTTCTCCACATCAGCAGTAAACACACTGGGTCTGCTGTATGATCACTAAAGCTGGTACTGACCAACATGATGGCCAGGGTAGACACCCAGGATTAAAACAGCTTAGAGTGACTATGCTGTGTCTTTCTTGCCACTGGCACTTAAGCATAACTATCCTGTTATGTTAAAGTGACTAAAATGCTGTGCATTTTAAATTATTGTATATTTATGTACATAATGATTTGAAATATAATTATGTAATGCTTTGTTCTCTGAGAGTATTATTGGTCTCCTTTTTCAATCTCATAAGCATATAAGATGACAACTGTTAAAGCTTTTAATTACATTCAATATACACTAATCTTTCCTTTCCTGTCTTTTTTAATATTTTTTATTCTAGTGATAGTTCCATTCCAATTTATGAGGCCTGGTCAAAGACCAGCCTGTAAGGGCATAGTCCCTGAACTATTAACAAAATTCCTGAACTCTTGATAGATACATCAGTGTGGTAGTGTGTGTTGGATGTTATAGTGCCAATGAAGAGGCAACAGTGAGGTTTTGGAGGACACTGCTGTATCAGTTTAGAAGTTTGTCTTCTAATATATTAATCCTGATTAAGATATTGATTTAACTATTTTATTTGTGAAATACTAATAGATTTATTTTAAAATAATAACTCTTAACATACTGGTTATTCTCACCAAGATAAGGTGGCCACAAAAAAAAAAAAATCACCACCATTCAATACCTGTCTTGCCAGAAGTGTAGAGATATTCCAACTCATCCCCAAGGTACTTCCACCTTCCTAAATCCACTCATAAATATTACCTTCCTTAAACTCCATATATATTTACTGAAAAAGTACCTAAACCTGCTGATTTTGATTCAGTCTTCATATTTCTTTAGAAAATGAGTGAAATATAAGTTTTTAGTAAAACATAACGCCAAGCCACAAAACACACGTGTCTCCACTCATTCTGATCTAACATGCTCTTGCAAGCCTGCTGGATGCTCAAGTCTTAAACTTATGTAACCTATCCCTCTAATCTTTAATATGTATATAATATCTATTTCTACAAGTACATGTACAAGGTATACAGGCCTAGCTGACATCAATAGCATACTACCATATAGAAAGCCACTTGTCATGTAAAGCATTTCGGGCAAATTAGGTCAGTTTTGTCCCAGGATGTGACCCACACCAGTCAACTAACACCCAGATACCCATTTTACTGATGGGAAACATAGATAACCGGTGTAAGTAAACACGCCCAATGTTTCTACCCTCGCCGGGAATCAAATCGGGACCCTTGCCGTGTGAAGTGAGAGCTTTAGCTACCAGCCCATGGGCCCCCAATATTTATACCCTCTCTTGATCATCCTATTCTGCCCAAAACACCTTCTCAGCCCTGTGAATTAAATCTTTGATTATCTTACATGGACTTCTAATTTCTATGCCCTGAATCCTGTTCATAATATTCACATCACACTGCTCTCTAACGTGAAATATCTAGTGCCTCTAGCCTCCATCTCACTGCAACATTTGAAATCCATGAATCACACCCATACAAGTGTTGGTACAGTACTGCTATACAGTCCCCATTTTACTCCATACAAGACACAGCTGTTGTATAATCAAATGGAACTACTATATCAGCATACATTCATGTAAATGATCAGCTGCTGGCACTGTCATCAGTGGGGACATCAAAGGCAACATTGTCAGATTTTTAAACAATAATGAAAATATAGAAAACTTAAAGAAAAGGACTAAATTTTTGAGCTTCAGAGGGCAGCAAGTTATTCAAACTGTAGTTCGGGAAAATAATAAATTATGGTAGACACAGGAAATCAAAGAACAATCGGACCAGAACAACGTTCAAAAATTAATGATTGAAGGACAAATAGTAAATGAATGCATGAAGTGTCAGTAATCAATGGTCAAGCAGTTTGTTAGGTCAGGCCGATTCAGATTTTTTTGTTGACAAGGACGAAGCAATAGAACACATTTGTTTTGTGGTGAAAGCATTAGATTTATCAGCAAGGATTTTACTAGGTACTGAATGGATTTATGGCACTTGAGAGATTTACATCTCAATTATCAATAGGAAAAAGTGAGGAATCATGTTGGTTGAGCTTAGGTAACATACTGTACTACTTAGCTTGGCTGTGTCATCCTGGGTTCATAACACTCATGGGTTAAATAACTAAGTACAGAATGTCTTCTATAAATTCAGAGAATTTAGAGTGGCCATCCCTGATTGCAACTAAAAATAAAAATGTTAAAAACTTATCTCTAAGTCTATACTGTTTTATCACACTGGCCATCTCCCACCAAGGCAGGGTGACCTAAAACATTGAACTTTTACCATCATTCATTCAACAGATTTCTTGGCAGAAATGCAGAGACATCACAATTCAGAAATGCAAATGATCTTCCACTCTTCAACATCCCCACCCCTCCTTCAGCATGCAAGCACTGAATTCCATGAATCACTCCATAAATGTTACCATGCTTACACACGAGCAACCTCTTGATTTCTATTTTTCAGGGAGTGGTGTGAGTTAAACAATCAATTGACAGTACAAATGAGACAGGAAACTGCCTTAAAAACAAAAGAAGATACTTGCAAAGCATACAAAGATATGCATGGGCATGATGTCACAGAAATGAGTATGACGAGTCTCCCCCACAATTGTCACTGGTAGTTTTGATAAGGTAACCAAATCAATTTTATCTACTATTTTGGGCTGATTAACAAAGCTGAATGAGTTCATAATGGCTGAATAAGAGTCTACCATCTCTTAACCAAGAGTAACAGGACCTGGAAACTTCTAGTTTAAAAAAAAGACAAAAAAAAAATAAAAAAAAAAGCCATGCTGTATTAAATTTTGTCTGTATTAATATGAAGGTGAGTTATTTTCTTTCAAACCACGAGATTTTACAAATGCCCACCACTATGAAAGACTGTTCATCAGCACAATTCTCAGTGAGCCATGACATTTTCCAGATGAATTGTGAGTGCTAACACATAATATTATATTGCAGCACAACATTATCCACTGTGTGATATATGTTAAAAACATGACAATGTATGTAGGCACATACATGGCTTGGTAGGTACCCAAAGCAGTGTTTGGAGGAACAAAAGCAATTTAAGTTAGAACTGTAGCATACAACACTGCTATTTAATAATTCAGCTAACCAGACGACTGCCATTATTATTAGAGTTGAGTACTGTACGTATTAGCATTTACCATGACTAAAACCACAAAATCTAATGAAAATGGAAACCCCCCAAAAATACTCTATTAGAATATGATGAAAATAAATTCAGTTCTCTTGTCAGAAAATATGTTAAATCTTTTAGAAGCACAGTTATATATTTCCTGCACAAATAAGTTCAGTACTATACGTATGCCTGCCACTAGTTCATCCACTGCCAGTGAGATTACCAAGACCATAATGCCAAATTTTGTAATCAATTCCTACAAGGCTAAATTATACATTTTAATGCTACTGAAAGTAATATAGTATAACAGAAATATAAATATACATATACTGTATAACTAAAACAAATTAGGAAAGCTGATTAGAAGATGGCAACCTTCATCAACATATGAAGGCTAGTTAATATATTGTACATGTGTCACCTGGCACATTCATGAATTATGACAAACACACGTACAACTTAATATTCCTACACTTTGTGGAGCATTTCAGCCACAACAGGACAAGCATATATTGCATCCCTTTGACATGCCTTGAGGAACGAGTGTGCTATGTGAGACATGTACTGCATATTAGAGATAAGCTTTACTAGTCTAGCAAAATAGTCTTTTGCAATAATTTGCTATAATGGTGGCATTAAGCATATATTATCATTAAAGTATGAAGATATAACCTAGGATACTTTCTAGCAGGTCCAACTCTCAGGCATGTTGAGATATACTGGAAAATCTCTTTGGAAGACTTTCTTCACTTAAACCCCTCAGGGTTGTTAAGCCTGGGCAAATAAGAAAGCCAAGCAATAAGGTTTGTGTACAGTATTTCCATTTGGAGTCTTCCTGTATTCCTTCCTAGAATGCAACCCACAACAGTCAGTGGCTTCGTTGGTAATGCGCTCAACTCGAACTGAGGGTCCATAGTTTGATCTCTTCACGGGTGAAAACATTGGTCGTGTTTCCTTACACCTGCTGCCCCTGTTCACCTAGCAATAAGTAGGTACATGGATGTTAATCAATTGATGTGGGTCACATCCCAGAGGGTGTTACTATACCTTAGACAGGGCTGAGCTTTGAAATGAGATGAGGTAGGATAGCAGCTCTTAGCCTGTAAAATTGATGTACATATAAATAAAAACTTGGGTGCCTGTACATACAGTATTTGTTGCTATATGAACAGTGGCAGCAAATGCAGAGGCACTTGCCCATATGTCCTGCCTGGAGATCGAACTTCCTATCACTGAGTTATGAGTCTTGCCTTGTCCGACTGTTCACCTAGCAACAACTATGTACCAAGGAGTTAGCTGGCTATTGTGGGTCACAATGGACTACAATGAAAATAAGCCATAATTGTATACTTGGCTATGTAGCTCATAGCTCAATAGTAGTGGACTCTGCACACAACCAAGAAGACTCAGGGTCGAACCCTGTTTATCTAGCAGTAAATAGATACCTAGGAGCTAGTCAACTATTGTGGGTTGCATCCTAGGCAAGACCCTGAAATGAAAACTAATAAAAATAAGCCAAACTGCTTGGTTTTTCTGGGATATCTTGCAAAATTAACCCTCTGCATGCAGTCATCTTCAATTTGGGTTAATGTATATCCCTCTAAGGTTCAATAACCTAAGTGAGTCTTCTTTCTCTTCTAAATAAACCAACACTTTTCATGCGTCTTTCTCAAAGGCTGACAATAAGCTTTTCAATTAACTTTGCCACTTTCCTTCCCATATCCAACATTTGTCTCTCCTCCCTTCCCGACTCCTCTCCCATCTCCTGATCTTGTCCCATCTCTCCCCTCCCCTTCTGATCTGATCTCATCCCATCCCTTCTCTCCCCTCTCTTCCCTTCCCCTCTCATCTTCCCATCTCAGCCCATATTCTCTATTCTCCCCTTGTCATCTCATCTCTCTCATCTCTCCCCTCCTAGTATCTCCAATCTGTCATCTCTCTCCTCTCCCTAGTCATCTCCAATCTGTCATCTCATCCCTTCTCATCTCATCTCTCCTCTCTCCCTTTCCTTCCCCTCCCTTCCCCTCATTTCTCTTATTCTCTTCCCCTTTTCTATTCCCCTCCCCCTCCCCTTGCCTCTCCACTCCACTTTCCAATCCACCCTCCCCTCCCCTCTATTCACCCTTCAGAGGTGACCTTCAACCATGCCAACTGACAAGTATCACCTACTTAAACCAATATAACAAAATTGGAGTGTGAATACTGGCAATAGAATGTTTTTTCCAGTGTTAAGATTAAATATGGTACATTGTAAAAAAAAGTTTAAGATTATTATTTTTTTTAATCACAGTGTCTTCCACCAAGGTACGGTGACCCAAAAAAAGAAAAAAACATTCATCATCATTCGTTCAATGGCTGTATTGCCATAGGCACACAGGCATCACAATTCATATTAGGATTACATTGACGCTTAATTCATCAAGTCTTAACATTTTCAGAATGAACTTAAGTTCCTTCAAATGATATACAGTGATGCTATTCAAGAGCTTTCTTATCCAAGAAACTGGAGCCAACCCCCTATTTCCTGATTACTTCACAATCCTCAGGTGCTGTATAACCTCTAGAATAATTAATAATGATAATAATCTTTGTAAGTGCATGATACAACTATGGGTTTAGCACTTTCCTGAAATATAGTACATCTCCTCAATCATCTTCACAATCATCATTACCTCCATTATTATTATAATCATGGGCAGCGCTAAACCCGTAGGATTATACAATGCCTCTGGAGATGGGGATGGAAAGTATTCAGGCTTAATTCAGGGAACTGGACCACAGATCCAATTCCCTAGATCAAGAGCCCCTCGCTAGTTTCAAGGAATCTCCTTTGAGGGATCATCTCCATAATCTTCATCTCCATCATCATCTCTATCACCATCTCCATCATCTCCACCATCTCCATCATCTCTATCATCATCATCTGCATCATCTCCATCATCACCTCCATCATTATCTCCATCATTATCTCCATCATCATCTCCATCATCATCATCTCTATCATCTGCATCATCTGCATCATCATCTCCATCATCCTCCATCATTATCTCCATCATCATCTCTCTCATCATCATCCATCATCATCATCTTATCACATCTGCATCATCATCTGCTCATCATTCATCCTCCATCATACTCCATTCATCTCCATCATCATCTCCATCATCATCTCTCATCATCTCCATATCTCCCTATCTCCATCCCATCTCCATCATCTCCATCTCCACAACATCATCCACCAACATCATCATCTCCATAATCTCATCACTAATAACATTAATATGGGAAGGTTCTAAGCTTGTTGTGATCATGCAGTGCCTGGGGACTGGGAAGTTACTAGGCTTGATCCAAGGTGAGGATAATTCTAATGCCTTGAATCAAGATTATTATTATAATCAAAAAGAAACTCTAAGCCAACCTTGAATCAAAAGTCTTCCACCTCTCTATTCACACTGTCAAACTCTATCTGAAGGCAAGAAATTAGTGAAAAATGTTGATTAAATTTAAGAGGCAGGGACTGGAGCTATGTTCTGACCCCTACCAATACATCAAGGCACCATCCCTTTGACCCCAGCCTTAGACAACTTCATCATCCCTTTGACACCAGCATTACCCTTTTAGCCTCAGAAACATCCCTTTAACCCCAGAATAATCCCTTTAACCCCAGAATAATCCCTTTAATCCCAGAATAATCCCTTTAACCCCAGAATAATCCCTTTGACCCCAAAATAATCCCTTTAACCCCAGCATATTCATTTAACCGTATCACTGTTTCTTTAACCCCAGTACTGTCTCCCTTACCTCATCAGTCCCTTTAACCCAGACTTCATAATTTTAATGCAAATATTGTCCATTTGACCCTAAGCAACATCATTTCACCTCAGCACTGTGACTGGATTCGATTTTTTTTTTTTTACCCTGAGGAAGCGCTAAAAATGTAGGGGTCATTTATCAGCTGGTAAAAATGGGAAGTAATCAGGATCGATCCAAGAGGAGGATACATCCAGTTCCTTGGAACAGCTCCCCCTTCACATTATAATCGAGGAGCGCTAAACCCGTATACAGCTCCGCCTTTCACAGACGTTATCTTTGCAAAGCTCTTGACCCCTACAATTCCTCCATTTGACCTCGAGCATCACTATGTCTCCCAAGAGTAAGTAAGCTTATTTAGGCACAGGTACACAAGTACAATGATCATACATAGTGTAAATTACCCAGGATAACCCAAAAGGTCAGACAAAGTGACTTTTATTTCCACTAGGGACCTTGAAACATTGTCAGGAGAGGAGCTCCTATGACCCCTCCCAGACCCACACCATCCCCACATTAATAGAGAAATCACACGGGTAAGGTGGCGACTTACCTCCCCTGATGATGGCAGGGCCCAGACTCACAAAACCCGGTGGGAATTGGATAGTAGAGCTATTTATAATCTTGGCTAGGAACTAGTGGCCGCCCGGTATCGTCTGCTCCAAAGCTCCCCGCCGGGTTCAACTCCCTAAATTACTCAATTCCTCGGCCAGATTTGCGGGTTTAATGGATGCTGCAAGCTAGGGTGATGTCTTAAGAGAGTGGGAAGATGAAGTAAGGTAAGTGGTAGGTGCTCACCTCAGTGCAGCATCCTAGAAGAAGAAGCAAGGACACTGAAGGTTGTCAGAAGGATAGAGAGGTTTGCGCATGACAATGGTTCTTGCCAGTAACCATAAGCCAGGTAATAATATATTTTCATGACCTTCTATGCAAATATAATTCCATGTACCTCGGCTGTACATATGTACATGTATATCCCATCTATTCTGTATAAAAAAAATCCTATAATAAAGCATTTACACGAGGAAAAATATTATTTTTAATACCATAGTTTCCCCCAAAACATTATCGTACATGAGTGTACTATGATGCAAGAATTACGTCAGTTTCCCTTGCACTTTAAATTATAATTTTCACCTGTCATTTATAAGCAAATTGTCTCTGAATAGCACTTATTCGACAGTACTAAGTAATGATTATAATGTACACTGTGTGTCAGCTAGTGGCATTTAAAAGTAACTGAGAATAAAACGTCTTAAATCCCCGTGCAGATTATCACGTGGACATTTTGGTTTCTGTTGCAATATATAATAATATAGCATTGAGAATCTCGATCCATCTGGAAAAGCCACGATCAATAATGCAATATGTCTAAGAGACACATAAGTCTGCATTTCGTTTCATAAATATATATTTGCCAACAAAATAAATACAGGGGTATTGTATATAAATCATAAGTATGATGTCCAGATGGCTATCACCTGTAACTGAGTCATTATCACCTGAACAACACCACTCAAGGTTGTTTTAATCTTTAATTGAGAGATTAAGGTACATATATACTGAGATGATAGAGGGAGTAATGTGGTGATACCATGATTGTAAGACACATATGTAATATGTAATTAGATGTATAAGTAAGTTTATTCAGGTATACGCACACATATATACGGTTACATAAATTATCATACATAGCAGCATATGTGTATATTACCTAGGATAACACCCCAAAAAAGTCATTGACTTATTTCCATGTGAAAGCAGTTACAATAAAAGGATATATACTAGGTAAACTGAGTTATTTACATTAATATTAAAAAGAGGATCAGATCATGCACTGCAGCTCTCATTGTGTGAATAACATTATTATTATTATTATTATTATTATTATTATTATTATTATTATTATTATTATAATTATTATTATAATCATGGGAAAGCGCTAAACCCGTAGGGTTATACAGCTTCTGTGGGAGGGGATGTAAGGTATTCAGGCTTAGTTCAGGGAAATAGAGCACAGATCCAATTCCCAAGATCAAGAGCCACTCACCAGCGTCAGGGAACCTCCCTTGAGGGGTGAATAAGGAGAGATTCTCACTTCAGAAAATATATCTACAATGTAGACATGGCTGGGTAATTGGTTTTAAAACTTACTCACAATGCTTCGCAAATTCTTCTCCTCCTGAGCTTTCAGTTGTATGAAATTATATTTGTATTGTAATTATATAAAAATGTAACAGATTGGAATGCAAAAAAACTACTGCTACTTTTTGTATGGCTCATAAGAAATAAAAAAAATACTTTTATTATATTTTATAAGGCTGCTTGTGTCCTGTACACTTCCAGACAACGATATTTTAATCCCCAATACAGAATATATGGCCTGAGATTTACACCTCTTATTGCATATAACCTTGAATGTTAGTATCTTATCTTAATGGCAGATATACTGCAAGTGATAAGCTTATTGGGCAGTTTTTTTCTGTTTAAAATGTGATATACGTATTTATTTATATTGAAATAGAGTGTACGTATGCAGAGAAAATATATTTTGAACTTTATTTAAAAATTCAAAGGACTCTAAGATATGCATAGGACGTCCATTATATTTTTAACATAAATTAGTGTTATTATAATCATAACTAAGCGCTAAACCCATAACTTTAACATAAAGATTAAAATAAATTCTATTTCTGAGCACAGTGGCTAGTGAACACCTGCCCCTTAAGGGGCAGGTGTTCACTGACCATGTCCCTTAAGAGAGAGATGGAATTATTAATGGGATACTCCTTTCAACCTTAATGACCAAGAGAGTACCACGCCCTTCTGACGATTGACGGACGGAGGATCGGGTCACCACTATTTGTGATGAATGGCCCCCACGGGTTTAACATGTCTCTTCTATGGAAAAGATGGTATTCTATAAGTTTAGTTTGTATTGGTGCGAATTTGCTGATGTACTCTTTAATAATCTAGAATTTTAGATTCATTGTGATAACTAGTAGTGCATTCATGTGGCGCACTAGACCCATAGGGGTAATTACAGCATTATGGGGGAGCGCTATACCCATAGGGATTATATTATTATTAGAATAAAAAATAAGCGCTAAACCACAAGGGCTATACAGCGCTGTATAGGGATTATAGTGTCTGTATAATCCCTATGGAAACTGGAGCATAGGTCCAATCCCTAGATCAAGAGCCCTTCACCGGTATCAAGAATTATGGGGGTGCAGTAAACCCATAAGAATTATAGTGCCTGTGGGGAATGAAAGGCATTCCAGTTCAATTCAGGGAATTGAAGAACAACTCTAATTCCCTTGATCAAGAGCCCTCACCAGCATCAAGGAACATCCACTGTAAATATTATATTATAATCATAAGCACTAAACCCACAAGGGTCATACAGTGCTGAGTGATATCATTATTATAATCAAAACTAAGCACTAAACCAATAAATGTAGTAGCACCTCTTCTGACATCCTTGTGTTTGCCTGATTGAAGGATCTGTTACTGGGCTGCATGGGTCAGAGTGCCAATTTTATTGAACAAACTGCAATACTGATTACAATTCAGTAACTAGAGAATGCCTTTTCTGATGAAATTAAGACACATGTGCAACATCTGGGTATCTTTATTGTAGACGTTTCGCCATCCAGTGGCTTTATCAATACAAATTCTAGGACATAACTTGAAGACAGTAAGACTATGTACAGAAGATGAGGTAATCAGTCCCTCAACCTTGGAGTAGGTGCGAAGAGCACCGTAGTCATGGAGATTCTGAATCAGAAGCAAGGAGCCTGGCGCTTATATAGTAACATCAGGTGTAGCAGACGAAGGCACAGCTTGTCAGACACTGCAACATCATGGAATCTTGATTCTGAGGACATGTACATAACCTTCATCACTACGACAACTACTACTACAACTAACCCATCTCTTTGGGAAGGACCTACATCCACTGGGGATTCCCACCTACCAGTGACTATGCCTTCATCTGCTACACCTGACGTTACTATATAAGCGCCAGGCTCCTTGCTTCTGATTCAGAATCTCCATGACTACGGTGCTCTTCGCACCTACTCCAAGGTTGAGGGACTGATTACCTCATCTTCTGTACATAGTCTTACTGTCTTCAAGTTATGTCCTAGAATTTGCATTGATAAAGCCACTGGATGGCGAATCATCTACAATAAAGATACCCAGATGTTGCACATGTGTCTTAATTTCATCTTGTCGGTATTATATACCATTCTTGCACACAATGCCTTTTCTGATTATTATTATAATCAAAAGTAACTGCTAAACCCACAAGTCATACAGCACTGCATTCTGATGCCGAGTTCTTAATCACGGAAGCATCTGTGAGAAAAATGGCACCCTTCCCAGAGAATTTATTATATTTATGGGAATTGGTGAACCTGTGAGGGTTGTACAGCTCCTGGGGAATGGGAGGCAATCAAGTTTGGTCCAAGAAAGTGCACTTAATTCAATTCCCTGGGTCAAGAGCCCCTACTCACTACCTCCCTCCTCCCTTGATGGGCCCTCCCAGAGAACGCTATTATATTCATAGAGGATGCGCTAAACTTACGGGAGTGATACAGCACCTAGGGGAATGCTAGGCATTCAAGTTCGATCCAAGAAGAAGCAAGTCCAATTCCTTAGATCAAGAGTCCTTCATTGGCTTCATTCTATTCTATTCTAGGTGATTTGCCGGTATGGATCCTAGCCCGGGTCTCTTCCAATTTGGTGACCCGGCATTGGCTCCCTGGGTAGGGAAGTGTTATTTATCTTCTTTTCTTGTACTACTTACATGGCAGTCCTTCGGTGGGAAGAGGGGTTCCTCTCCAGTTCTATGGACAAATGGTGTCCCAAAAGTTAGTTTGCTAAAATAGTGGTTGGTGTGGGATGCAACGGAGGCCCTCAGCAGGCCTTTACAGCGACTTCAGACGAGGGGGTAGGTGACGTGCAATGACTGGGAGTAAGGTCTCCAAGTCTCTGATGGCTAGGTGCACTAGATGTGCCGCCTCATCCTCCCGGGCCTGCCCCACTGGGGTCATTGGGAAGTGTCTGCAGTGAAGGGGCATCATAGCTGGGCGCAGTGGGTGCAGAGCTTCTCTCTTGCCCGTTTAACGATCCGTGCAGTGGTGGTATACCCTAAGTGTAGGCGGTGGATATTCACCTACAGTTCCCTGGTCTTCGTCCGAATACTTGGAGGGGGCTCCCTGTGAGTCGTCCTGTCATACCAGCGGCGGCTCCATGAATCCCCAGGGTCAGGGAGTGGGTGCCTGGCAGCACTGGCAGCCCAGAGCATAATCTGGCTGTGGCTGATGGAGATTGCAACACGTGACTGTGCCTCAAGTTGGGGTCTTAGTAGCCTCATCTGCTGCATCATTGCTGGGGATACCCACATGTCTTGGGATCCAGTTGATGGTGACTCTGCAACCCTGGGCCATGAGCATCTGAAGGTCACCCCAGATAGATGTGATTAAGTGTATGTTGTCCCTTGGCTCTCTGTGCATAATTGCCTGGATTGCTGACTTGGAATCAACATGGATGATGGGGGGATGCTGATGGTTTGCAACTGCATGCTGCAGAGCTTGTTGGATGGCAGAGTTCAGCCTGGAGTAAGATGCAATGGTCCGGGAGGCACCAACCTGCTGTCAGATTGCTGTGGAACATCCCAGCAGCTGTGCGGCCTGCCTCTGGGTCTCTGGAGCCATCGGTATAATACGGCACACACCCAGGGCTTTCCGCACTTGCAATGCTAGCCAAAGCAAGACGTTGCAGAATTAGCTTTAGAGAATTTACCCTTGAAGGATCCTAAAAAACAGGTCCTAACTCCTAGGTACAAACCACACCACCAAGTTAAGGTGACCCAGCATCAAGAGAATCTTCTTTAACAATATAAATTACGTGCACACAAGCCCTGTGAAATTATCTCTATTTATTGGAAAGTATCCATCTATCATAAAGGAGGGAGTACCCATTTTTACACTACCCTGCAAGTGATAGTGTTTCAGGCACCTTTACTGTGAAGTCATATTTTTCTCTTATACAAGATAATAAATTTATCATAGTTTTTAATGCAGCTTGTTTTCTCTGAACAAGTGCCCTGGTTTGTGCTGGATCCATTAGCAGGGATTGTGGCAACGATGATGCCTACTATACATCCAGCATGATTCTGGCATTCAGAAAAATACATGACTTTGAAAAACTTCATTGGGACTGCTTTCCTAAAGAAAATATAAAACAATCACTTAAAAAGTTCTTAAATGGGTCATCAAAAGCCTCTTCTTAGAGGTTAGTGTTATTACTTTCAATGTGAGAGTGCTAAACCAGTAGTGATCATATAGCCCTAAGGGATATGTGAGGCAGTCAGAAGAGGAAGAGGTCAAATTCCTTAGATCAGGAGCACCTCACTGGTGGGGGTCCTAAGAGTGAAAAAAATTAATGTTTGTTATTATTATTATTATTAATATGATCAAAAAGAAGTGCTAAACCCACTAAGGTCAAATATTTTTTTTGTATTAACAAAGTATACAGTAATGGTGTAATGCACCAAGATGGGTGATTGACAGTACAAAGAATCGGATGTTACCTCCATGCTTACTTTCTGATAACCCCATTCCATTTTTTTTTTTTATACAAAAATTTACCTGTAGCACCAACTATTATTTCAAGCTACACTAGCTTATTATTCCTCTGACACGATCAACCATGCTGCCCTGTAGGCTGAAGATTATGGATGAAATAAGACAACAGTGCCATCTACTGAACAAATCATAGGTCTTAGTTTATGTTATTTGGAAGCTTCTGCTACTGAAGGGTAATTTTCTTCCCTATTGGGTGGAAAGGGCTAGTCAGTGGCAAACCTCTCATCCTTAGGGATGACAAGATACCTGACACTAAGGGCGAGACTTCTGTCGTCTCTGAGGATGGTAGTTGCCTTCCAGGACAAGATACCTACTTGCACTGCCTGGCTCTTTCACACTTCTGCCTCCAGCTATGCTTTTCCTCATGGAAAAGCATAACCAACAAAATCAAATTTTATGGGTATAGTTATCTAATAGTTTTCACTACAGTGGCAGTTTCCCACCAAAGTAGAGTGGCCCCAAGTAAACATTCCTGATCACTCATTCAACAGCTGTCTTACCAGAGGTTCATGAAGATCACAATTCAACAGACAATGAACTTTAGCTACATATTTGAATAGCACTTAGTCACCCAAGAGCACAGTATAGTGAAAATTTCAACAAAATTAGTTGGTAACACATTGGACACACATTCTTTCCCCTCCTTCCTTTTAAAGAACGTATATTTTTCCTCATAACTAGAAGGCAGAAGATTCAGGAACCAAGTTCAAGGGCCCAAGTTAAGGAATTCTGCACATGAGATTAAGACCAACATCATAAAATTTAAGTGAATCTAGTCAATATATTTTTATTATAATTTCACATCAGTTAAGAAATTTCAGAGAATTTTCTTTTATTATGTTGCTCGACCATAGGAGAGGTGGTAACAATGTGAGCCCTACGAGACAGCCAAAGTCGGTGGTCGTGAAAAGTCTTCCGACCCGTGCGAAACAGCGACCTTTCCAGTTCATCCAGTTTGGTGGTGTGAGAGCTTGCTTCATCCTCAAGAGAATTCAAAGATGTGTCCATAATACTCCTCAAACGTTCTCTCAATGTCTGGAAAAAATATTATTGCATTAAATACAAAAATTATTTATAGGTTAACATTCACTCTGGCTATACCCTTCTCCAGAATTTCACTCCATCTGAGATCCTATATACCCAGGATGACTCGAGTATGGAACACATTCGTACAGCATAATGATGTCAACGAGATAAAGTCAGTTGATCAAATGAAAATGCTGGCCCACAGATGGCTCCAACTTCATCCTGTTCCCTACTTGTATGTCTCATAACAATAAAAATGCTTTCAAATGAGCTGATGTAGGTAACAGCTCTTAGCTTGCCAATAAAGTTAGGAATCCTTAACCTGTAAATAGCTTGTCAATAAAACTAGGGATCCTTAACCTTGTCAAACCCTGTGTAAAAAAAAAAAAAAAAAAAATGTACAGGCCATGAAAGTACTTCCTTTTTATCTGTTGTAACCATTACTTACGATCCAACAGATTTTGTGTAACCATAATGATTATTTAGTCACCACTGTAGATTATAATTATTTACAACAAATTTCAAGTTTTTAATCAAGCAAAATTTTTTGACACATTTAGCATGAAATATTATTTTCAAGACCATTTCACTGATATACTTTTAATGGTAAAAATTATTGGTAATTCAGAATCAACATTACTAAAAAAATTTTCACAAAATGGTATATCAAGTAAGCAAAGTCACTGGCCTGGAAATCTTATACAAGTTTGAACAATTACAGACCTAAATTCAAACAATACAACCAAAGAGTAAGCTAAAAAAGTAAGACAGTGTATGTCATGACGTCTTGTACAAAACTGATATTTTAGGTGAAAAACGCTCTGACTGTCAGGTTGTAGATGTGGAAAAGGCAATAATTAGGAGCCTTTCCAAACAATTTGCCAGTATTTTTGTATTATATGGTGGACATGACATGATATCCAGTTAAAAACATTTAATATCTCTCCAAAATCAATGGGATACTGTTTTACTTGAATAGTACATGTATATATAGAAAGTTTCCAGTCAATGTGCAAGTTATTTCAAATATTTTTTAACACACTGGCCTTCTCGTATAGAAATGGGGTGACCCAAAAGAAAGAAAACACATTCACCAAATTTTAAAGTTTTTTAAAACAGCAAAATTTTAACAATTTCCTAAATATTAATTTTCCCCCCCCCCCCAAAAAAAAGAAATCAAAAAAAAAAACCCCTTTTTAAAATTAAAAATTTTAAATTTAATTAAATAAATTATAAAAATTAAAATTATATAATAAAAAAATTATATTATAAATTTAAAATTTATTTTTTTTTATTAAAAATAATAAAATTTTAAAAAGGCAGGGGGGAAAAAGGGACAAAATTTTTCAACTTTTATTCACCCCCTCTGCAAAAGGGTTTATTTAAATTTTTAAATGAAAAATTTTTTCGGGGGATTTTTTTTTTCCACCCCCTGGGGGAGCGGCCGCCTTTTAAAAAAAAAAAAAAAAAAAAAAAAAAAAAAAAAAAAATTAAATTTTAAAAAAAAATTATTATTATTATAAAATATTTAATTTTAAAAAAAAAAAAATTTTTAAAAAATTTTTTTCCAACCCCCTCCACCCCCCCCCCAAAAAAAAAAGAATCCCCCAAAAAAAATTTTCATCACAAAATTTTCCCAAATAACATTATCATGCTTTAAAACCCAAAACAAATTTTAGAAGCTATCTTATAAGTAAAACAAAAAACCCTCCAAACTGCCATATTTTTTTAAAAGTGGCAGAAAATGTTTCCATTTAACTAATCCCAAAAAAAAAACTTTTCCCCCTGAATTTCATAAATTTTATGAATCCAAACAATGTGCCCAGTTTTTTTTCCCCCAAATATTTTAACACCTCCGCCCGTTAATAAAATTTTAAAAAAAAAATAAAATTTTTAAAATAATTAATTAAAATTTTTTAAAATTTTAATATTTTAATTTTTTAAATTTTATAATAAAAAAAAAAAATTTAAATTTAAAAAAAATTTTTTAATTTTAAATTTTATTTTTTTTTATTTATTTATTTTTTTTTTTTTAAATTTATAATATATTTAATTTTAAAATTTTATTTTATATATAATTTTTTTAATAAATTTTTTTTTTTTTTAAAAAATTATAAATAAAAAAAAATAAATTTTTTTTAATTTTTATTTTTAAAAAATTTTTATTAAATTTAATTTTAAAATTTTAAAAAATTTATAAATTTTTTTATTAATAATAAAAAATAAAAAAATTTTTTTTAAAAAAAATAAAAAAAGGGGGGTGAGATAAGTGCTTTTAATTTGGAGGGGGTGCCCAGGGATTTTTTAGAAAGAAGTGAAATCGTTTTTATGAGGGAAAAAGGGGAGGGCACTAATTGTAAACAAAGAACTTGTCTTACAAAGGGGAAATTGGTAGAGGTTATTTTTCCCCCTCCTTTGGGGCGGGTTTGGGGTTTCAACAAAACTACAAATTAATTTAAAATTTTAATATAAAAAAATTTAATTTAATTAGGAGGGGGGGAAAAAATGTTGTGACTAAAGGGGTTTTATGTTCGGCTTTTAAAGGAGAATTGGGCAAAAGATGATTAAAGGTGTTATTTGAGTGAAAGGGGGGGAGGGGTGAAAGAATTTTGGGGGATTTTTTTTTTGGGGGCACTTCCGCGGATGGGACGTTTTGAAAAAAAAAAACAAAAGGGTTTAATACTTATTTTTAATTTAAAGTAAATTTATAAAAAATTTTAAAAGAATTATTTAAATAATAATTTAATAAATTTAATTTATTTTAAAAAAAAATTAAAAATTTTAAAAATATATAATTTTTAAATTTTTTTTGGGAAATTTTAATTTAAAATAAAAAAATAAATATATTTATAAATATATATTTATAAAATATTATATATTATATATAAATATATAAAAATAAATATATAATATAAATAAATATATATTTTAATTTTAAAAATAATATTATAATATATATATATTAAATATAAAAAAAATTATATAAAATTTATATTTAAAAAATAAAAAAAATTAAAAAACGGACCCCCGCTAACGATCACCCCCCAAATGCGATCATTATGTAAGGTATCATGAAATGCTTTTGTACGTTATGTTTGGGGGTCTGAAATGGACTAATCTACTTCCAATTTTCCTATGGGAAAAAATTTTCAGTCAGAGGGGGCACCTAACAACTTCTGGAAGAAAAAAATCGTTTAACCGGGGTCCACTGTAATAAAATATAAAAATATATGTAAAAAAAGCTTAGGGTTAGAAAAAATAAAGCACCCCACAGAATTAAAAACTTAAGAAAATAAATAACCTTACCTCAAACAGAAAAATGCCCAAAATAGGGGCCTCAGGCCAGCAAGAGGCAAAAGGGTTGGCCAAACTCAAAAAGGGGGAGAGAACATAGTAAATCCCTAAGCTTGCCTCTTTTTTTGGGTTTTCCCCTGTGATAAAAACAGCACTAGAAAAAATGCAGAAAAAAAACAAAATTTTAATTGTTTTAAAATACTATATTTAAATACCCATATTTTGCATTAAATCCATATAAATACCTGGCCATCTCCCACGATGTAGGAGGGCATGAAAAAGAAGTAAAGCTTTCACCATCACTCACCTTATCACGTCTTCCCAACATATACATGATATGTGTATATTTTTTTCCATTCCTTCTAAAACCCAAAACCAATTCCCCCCCAAAAAAAGTTCTATATTTCTTTATGGACATTTTTTTCCCTCCCCCCTTGCATTTTTATATTCTCACCTTATCGTTCCTTAAAGGGTTTTGGCAGCTGAAGGAAAAAATGGCCGACGGAATACAGAGCTCGGCCCAAACCCAAGCATGGTATTTCAAGCTTTGTCCCTGCCCTAAATCCTTACTCCCCACTAAAGGATCAAGGTAACCAAAAAAATATATAATCAATATAAAGCAGAATAGTTAGTATTAACAGCAGAATATACAAAAAATCAATACAAGAGCACCCAAAACCAAAAAAACTAATGAAACTATGATATTCATCTAAACTCAATAAAAAACCCCTACTAAACTAGGAAAAATAATTTCAAACCTGATTCCAGTCAAATTTTGCTAAGATGAATATTTTTACCCCAGCTAAAAAATTACCATATACAATAGGGCTGAACATTTTTAACATCAGCTAACACAAAAAATTTATAGATATTTACAAAATCATATAATATGCAAAATACGGGAAGAATTAAACACAGACCCCAATTTACCTAAAACAGATTAACCGGTGGCACTCGATGTAGCACAAGGTTATCCTCTAAGAAAAAGGAGTAATGTAAAATAAAAAGACGGGCGCTCCCTTTACAGCGAGGAAAAGAAAAACAGAGGGGCTAAAAAGGGGAATATATCTGAAATGCGTGGGGAGACCGGGTCAAGAAATAGCAAGCATCGAATTAACTAAAAGAATCCTTTGGGAGTCAGGAATCGGGGGAAGAACAAAAGCCATAAATGAAATCAAAGAACCCAAAGTATTTCTTCTCCATCCAAACCCAAAAATCGAGAACAACTTCCAGTATTGGGCCCCTATTTAAACAAAGGGTCCTACACAGATACACAAGGAAATGAGTGAGCTACTAAACCCCCAAAAAGACCATTTTTTTAGAAAGCCGCTAACCAGACTGAGAGCAAAGATAAAAATGAATTTTTTATGAGAGAGCCACAAAATTGATTAACACAGCCTATCCGAGGATCCTGACGCCAATGACTTCGAAAAAAGGGCGATAAATGACATCCCATGCCTCGGCCCCGGGGCCAACTCATGGAATTTGGTTCCATCAAGAACGCAAAACCCCCCTACCACCTTTTCCACCTAGGGAGAGGGACATGGCACGGGGTCGTCCCCAGTTACAAAAACAAGCCATACCCCCACTCCACAAAGGGGGCAGAAAAGAAAACAGAAAAAGAACTCCGACCAAAAGCATAACACCCCTTTCAAAAAAATTTTTGAAGGGCCTAAGAAGAAAGATCCCACCCCAAAAACCCCTCAGTTACACAACCCAGGCAAAAAGGGTTTAAACGGGTCGCTCCTGTCTGCCCAAACTTTTGGATCACAAGACAAGGTCCTAAATGCACTAGAAGAAAAAAAAATGCAGATTAATATATACAGATTTGGAAAAGCTTCGACAAGTGTGCCACGTAATGCGCACAAAAGCGTGCTAAAGGGAAAAACAGGGAAAAATCGGTCGATGATCTATAATTTCCCCACTAACAAACACAGAAGTAGTCACAACAAGAAAGTCCCGAGGGACTACGTGAAAAGCCTGTTCCACAAGGCACAGTATTGCTCCCATCTTTTCCCTCCTCATATCCGACATAGACAAGGATGTCAGCCACACACCGGTCTTCCTTTGCAGATGACACCCCAATCTGCATGACTGTTTCCATTGCAACACTGCAAAGCTCCCCGGCGGGCACAAAACCAAAACTTTTTAGTGGGCTACAGAAAAAAAAAAAAATAATTCAAAGTAGAAATTTTTAATTTCTCAAATGGTAAACATAGGAAATTTAAAACTTTATCAAGTACAAAACAAATTCTGCCAAAAATAAGCGAAAAACCAACGTCAAAGACCTGGGAGTGATCATGTCGGGGATCTCACCCTTTAAGGACCCAAAAATGTACAATCGCATCTGCTAGAAAAAATGACAGGATGGGTAATGAAACCTTTAAACTAGGGGGGCCAAGCCCAGAGACACTCTTTAGGGCATTTTCTATCTAGGGTGGAAAATTTTCTGCACACAAAAAGCACCTTTCAAGGGATGAAAATTGCCGACCTAGAAAATGTACAGAAACTTTCCGCGCGCAAACGGGAAAAACACCTCAAAAACTGGGGGCGCTTTTAGGTTTCCTAAAAAACCGTATTCCCCGAAGCAGGAGGAGAAACAAATTATAACACCTGGAAAAACCAGGGGACTAGACCGAAAATTGCACACGAAAAACCTCACTACGAAAGCAAAAAACTTGGGGAAAGATCAAAAATCCCCCCAATGAAAAGCAGGGGGGCACTACACTTTTTGAACCCTACAAAAGTTCAGGGGCCCGAGACTGTTCAAATGCCTCCCAGCACACAAAAGGGGGATTACCAACAACCCCGGGAGTCTTTAAGTGGGGCTGGGCAACACCTAAAGTGTTCCTGTCACCGGCTGTGCTCGAGTTTGGTTTTTTTGTGCAGCCACAGCAACACCTGGTTGTCAGGCTTGACCACCGGGGCCCCGTCACAGACCGGGGCGGGGGGGGTTTACCCCCGGGAAATCTCTCCAGGGAAACTCCAGGGAAATAATTAAACTATAATAAAAACATAAACCCCCAAGGTTTTTGGGGTTTTAACAGCTGCAAACTTTTATGTCAAACAGTCAAAAATTTTAAAAATATTGTGGACATTTATCAAATAAGAATGGAGGAACACTCATTAAAATTATTGGGGCCCTCCTAGGGAATTTTGGGGCACACCCCCCACACCCCTTTTGGTACCTGCTAACCTTTTTTTTTAAAAAACCTAATTTCTTCCTTCACGATACCTGGGAAGTATTTTCCCCTCACTCACTCTAGTTGCCAAACCATACTTTTCATAGCTACTAACCAATTTGTCTAAACTTATTCAATTTTAACTTCTGGAGTTTACAAAACCTAATCATGAAACCGCTGACAGTAACTTTTTCCAAAAAAGGTTTCATGCAAAACAAATGTCAACCCCTCTCTGTACAAACATTTTATCAACTGAAAAAATTATATTATTTTTTGATTTGGGTTTTCCCTTTCTTTGCCCCCGATCACCCCAACACGTTGATACCTGGGTGCTGTTACGTTATAAGTCACCTTCTACAAGAAAAAACATGGGGACCACAACTAAAAAAGCCCACTGGTTGACTTTTTCAAAGCACAGCCACACCCACCAGGGAGGGGCACAAAAAAAAAACAAAAATTTTTCTTTTTAAATTTAGTATATAACAGGAAAGGGTTACTAGCCCTTTCTCCAGCATTTATCGCCCCTTACGGCACCAGGCTACGAGGGAAAATTTTGGTTCCCTTCCCCATGGTTTTTCATGGGGTTTCAAATTCAACCTTACGATTAATAAAACAAAAAATTTTAAATCTCCTTTTCCCCTGGGTGTGACCAACAATTGTTGGCAAAAATCTTATTTATTCGCATTAAATACATAAAGCAGTATTTTAATAAAGGGAAATTAGACAATTGTTAGAAAAAAAGGACACGATGCAACTAATGTGAACCTATAGGCCATGAATTTTTAAATCTAAAAAAGCGCTAAACCCCCCAAAGGGCAGTGGTTAAAATAGACATGTGCAAATCTTGGGTAATTTTTTGAAAACGTTTTCCCCCACGTGGCTTCATCATCCCTACAAAGGGTAGACTTAAAAACAGGGAAATGATAACTCCCCCAACCTTGAGTCGATGTGGGCAGTCCATCAAACATTTTAAGATTTATGGACGACCCCATCGACTCAAATTGGGGGCTGATTTCCTCGTTCTCCCTGTTCTCAAGTTATCCTTGTAGGGCATAAAACCACATGTGGGGCCTTCTCTAAAGGTACCCAAAGGGGCCGTGTCTAAATTCACGGTTTTCCTTTAACCCCTCTAAAGGGGCCTGTTTCCAAAAAAAGCAATAGCCTTGTTTTTCCAATTTTTCTTGGGGGACAAAAATTTTAAACCCCAATGAATAAATTAGGGAAAGGCCCAGAAATAATTTCTTGGGGTTAAACCCTAGGGGAAAATTCGAAGAGGGGGAACCCAAAAAAAAAAATTAAAAATCACCTTCAAACTCCTTTTATTTAAAGAATTATAAAACGAAACCAAGCCCAAAAAAAAAAAAAACACTTTCCCTCCGTTTTTAAAAAATTAAAAATACTTTAAAATAACCTTTTAAATTTTAAAGGGTAGGATTTGCATTTATTTTAAAAAACGGAAAAAAAATTTTTTAAATAGGGACAGTTTTTATTTAATGGGTCCCTTGTTTTCTTTTAAATTTTTGGTTTTTTAGGAAAAACTACTACGCTTGAATGAAAAAAAAAAATAATATATTTTATTACTTCTTCCCTAAAAGCAACGCACAGCAGAATGATTAAAATGTGATAATTTCGTATTTTAGTACAAAAAATAAGTAAATCAAAAATACCTCCAACTACCTGAAAAGTCGAAATAATTTTTTTTTTATATACTAAAAAACTGTACTAATAATGTTTAATTTCTCACTCTTTTTTTTAAAGGGAAAGAAAAATTTTTAAGGGAAATTTATAATGTTTCCCTTTTGACATATACCGCGTTTTTTTTTTTTAAAAGTAATAACTAAAAGTAATAAGCTTTTCAGTAACACAAAAACAGTTACATAGATTTTCAACAACAGCATATGTAAAGAACCTGGGTACCCAAAAAAGTCAGACAGAGTGACTTTTTTCCGTTGGGGTCCTTTTTCCTTATTTTTAAATTAAAGGTGATAATACTTATTTTTATTCTATAATGAAGAAACCTTTTAAAAATTAAAACAAAAAATTAAGACATCACTACACGGGTCATTAAAAATCCACTACAAAAGGGGTCATTAAAACTATCTAATACCGAGGGGATTAAGACATCCCTCACGAGGGGCATTAAGACTATCTACTAAAACGAGGGTCATAAGACTATCACACACGAGGGTCATTAAGCTATCCACTACACGAGGGGCATTAAAAATTTTGGGGTAAAAAAAAAAAAAAAAAAAAATTTAAGAACCACTACACGAGGGTCATTAAGAATATCCACTACACGAGGGTCATTAAGACTATCTACTACACGGGGGTCATTAAGACTATCTACTACACGAGGGTCATTAAGACTATCTACTACACGAGGGTCATTAAGACTATCTACTACACGAGGGTCATT